AGGCTGCAGCAACGTTTCCCATCCACCAACACCATAAATGATAGACCAAGGGTGACCACAAAACGACAGCATGTACTGAATCCCTTCATGCAGGCATCCGCAAGAACAGGCCAGACAGTGGGAACACACGGAAGACCAATCAGTACTGATACAGTACGCCGACGTCTTAACAGCGGGAACCTCCATTGCCGTGGACCTTACCGTGGACCTATCCTTACCCCTCGTCACCCAGATATTGTACACAAAAGAATGTTTTTGATCCGCTTATTATGTCCATTTCTGTAATGATTTGATTACAGTGCCTATCGAATTTTGAATTCGTACTGACGTTTTTTTGCTGCTGAGTATACATTTTTTCATCTGAACATTGGCTAAGTTACTGACAAGACAGTGTCGACGAAAAGCGTGTTGCATTTCCGTGACATCTAAAGAGCTGAAATAGTAAAACAAAAACGTTATTATTCAAAATTAGGAATTGTAAGTATGAAGTTTTAGAATCGGTTATATATTTTCTCTTTGTTATCATGTCACTCTGTTGCAAATGTTCATTCGTGTGTTAATTGTATCCAATGTGGAACGAGGTATTTCTAAAAAGATAATGATGGGGTCCTTTAATTATGACATTTCTTTGCACACGAACGCATTTTCTTCCGATTTGAACTTTAGTTTTAGTGTAGAGAGAGAGACATTGAAAAACGAATGATTGCTCTCTAAGTTTTAATACTGGTGCTCGTGTCGTCAAAGGAACTGCTTACAAACTGATTCATTGCAAACATAAACAACTGATACATATAACGTATTATTGAATGTGTTCTCAGTGACGATGTGCTTGTTTCGTGATACCAGCATGGACTGAGGTCAACTACTTCCTGTCACTATGACCTGCCTATATATGGGTGCTCTAACATGGGTACGTGGGAATGTTTACACACTGACAATGGCCATGGTTGATCATGTTGAACAATACAATGATATCACAGAAATGGAACTAAAACAACTTTATCAGCCTAGTGTATAATACACTGCGCATTGTTTGGAGTAAAAACAATACGTGTAGACACGCTGACATGGCATGTTTCATTAAAGCAGTACACCCAATTATATCATCGTCGTTTTTATGTGCTTTACGTGCCGCTGTTCACAGCAATTATACAAAGTTATCATATTACTAGTATATCTGGTTATGCAGTCAATATAAATTCGGTATATGTTATAGCTTATGTCTGAATTAGGTTTGCAACACTCTTTGTTTTTGAAAACTTGCTATGCTTTCAGTGGTCCAATCATATGATCGCTACAACGTTTTTGTCCACTAAATGGATTGCTTCCTGATGAATATCAGCAGTTGGTTTTCAAATCCACTGGCGCTGTGTATATTAGACATCGCCGAGAAATCACAAGGTTCGTATGTCCTATATCTACACACTCTGACGCTGAAATTGCAATATCCATGGATATTCTCGACGTAGAATATTTCAATGTAGTTAGACGTAATTTTGGTGGGGCGTCGTCAGGGTGGAGCCTTAACGTGTTAAGTTTTTAACACATGTTACACTCAGTTCTTCTCAAGCATAGACTGTTGTATATAAGGGTAAGTTGAGGTGACGAACGCGGAAGTGCAATTAATGTATTATCTGTGTAGCTGCAGGCGTTGACTTTAAGACTTTATGTTGACTGACGGCTGGGAGTGACGCATTGGACAACATAAGGATGGAAGATAAATATTTATCAACATTGGCGATTTCAGCTGTCACCTGTTTGATAACAATCTAAATTGCTCATAATAAGTTCTGGGGGGAAAGTGTGGGAGCATCCAGGAAGTCTGGCGTCCCTTGATATAGTGTGTGAAGAAAACACTAGCTTCCTGGTAGTAGACATGTTGTAAAAGAACAACCTCTTCAGAAGTCTGTCAATATACCCTGCAGATATAAAAAACATGCATATGTGCGAGTGCGACAGAACTTGCGGCCATTATTCCGTTGCGACCAGAACAGCGATTAGTATTATCCTAAGTCCAGCGGCGTCCAGCGTTCGTCACTCGGTTGCAATTCTGCGAACGAATATACTCAGTGAGAGATGGAAGTAGTTCATGATCATTTTAACAGACTTGTATTACCTCGGACGCTGTTGTATTTACATATTCAATATGTATTGCGCGATATCCACACCTTTAACGTATTTGCAGTAAAACATTTTGAGCACAGGGGTATTGTACTAATTATATTATACAATGATGGTGAACATTATTAGTGCTCTAATTATACTTGGCGTTGTAGATAGATGCAGGGCCGCGCGAAAGAAATTTCCGGGCAACGTTCACTTTTCAGATCTAATGGGAATTTGCAACAGAACAAACTCGGCATCGAAGGGGTTAATTATACTTGACGTTGTTAGGGCTGTAGTGGGGTGGTGGGGTAGCCTAGTGGTTAAAGCGTTGGCTCGTCACGCCGAAGACCCGGGTTCGAATCCCCACATTGGTACAATGTGTGAAGCCCATTTCAGGTGTCCCCCGCCGTGATGTTGCTGAAATATTGCTAAAAACGGCGTAAAACTAAACTCAGTCAGTCAGTCAGTAGGGCTGTAGTTATAATTGACATTTTCTGTCCTTTTCTTAATAGAAGCGGAAGTACAACTTTAGACCACAAATGAATAGACAATAACGTTCAAATGTTGTTCATTTTGCTTTTCATATCAAAATTACTTACCCAACTTTTCTACTTATCAGTTAGTCAAAGTGTGTTTAGACTTCACTCGTGGCTACAGTGGACTTCCTCCTTTCGAACTAGATCAACGTATGTCAGAACGCCTAAGTTGTGTATTTACTCTGCCGGTGTGTGCAATACAGCCCTCGGTACATAGCACACAGGGTAATATTTCCTTGATCGCGACTGTCGCATATTAATTTTATTATCGCGTATATATAATGCTCCTTGACAGTTTGCGGACAAGCCCAGACGATTTTGACGTCAAATCGCTTTGTATTAGATTTAAAGTAAACAACGGTTGAGCTTTGCATATCAACGACGAATGAAGTCCCCATTCTGTTAAAAATCCTCGTGGCGATAAACTACCTGATAACGACATCCGTCTTGCACGAGTAATGTGACGATTACAAATTCCCAACACAACACATGGTGTATAGCTGTGACAATGTTGGGTCATTTTGTCCTCATTGTGTACGTGAGGTGCATAATGGCAGCTGCAACGACACAGCATAAAACTGAAACATGTGAGTATTTGTTTCAAATTGCATGTGCAGACTCTCAGATAAAAAGTGCAATGTATAGTGGCACATATGGAATCAAGTATTTAGTAGGGTTTCTGATCTTACATGCGGCATTTAATCATCTAGAAGTCTAGGGACATCGAGTATCTCTAATGTCTAGACAATATTGGCATTATCATCCTCTAAAGCGACACACACGTTGTGTCGACGGGCGTATACCTTGATGTTATTTATTCAGTAGTGCACCCGTGGTTTGCCGATGCTATGAAATATATGAGACCAGTAACTGCAGAAAAATGTCACAAACCAAAAGAATGTAACAGCTTCATGTTTATACATGGATCTAGAGTGATACAAAAATTATTTAAAACCCGCGTCTTGTATTTCTTGTTTCAGTGATTTCATGTTGCAACACATGATTCATTTTGTGTCGCTACTGATGCAGGAAAGGTGATCACTGCTGTGTTGAATAGTGTCTGGTCCTCGTAAACAAAGAGCAGATAAAAATGATTTCCAAATGAAGTCGAAAAACACAAGATAGTCATATTGACGCATCTCTGTTGACTCAAGTCTCTTTAAAGGGACACGATGGTCACATCAAAACTATATGTACTTTGAATAGGCTGTGTGTCAATAAATCTATTTGTGCAAACATCTGGTACCCAACTATTGGACAACATCCATCTCAAACATCCATGTCCATTATATAACTTTCCATATATTCCAGATACTCTGAAGCTGACAAGTGTCCCGTCATTAGCAACAAGGGGGAATCTTTTCACCCTGAGTTGTACGAGCACAAGAAACATCAGTATATTATTCTGGTTTAAGGACGAAAACATAATCTTCAATACAACCCACAACGTAGCTGCTGACTACCTCGACACCGTGCCAGGAATTGATTATGTGAACTGTGATGCCTTACAACACAATGTAACCATCAACATAACTACCACTCAGTACAATGGATCTGTATGGACGTGTTCAGATGCTCGCGTAATGAGCAACACTCTTACCATCAGTGAGTTGGGACATACAGATGGCTGGCTTTAAGATACATACATTCATACATACATACATACATACATACATACATACATACATACATACATACATACATACATACATACATACATACATACATACATACATACATACATACACACACACATACACATACATACATACATACATACATACATACATACATACATACATACATACATACATACATACATACATACATACATCAAAGCAACCGTAGTTGCACATGTCATTTTGATAACTATGTACATGTATGATTGCGCTATGCAGAATATTCTCGCCGATCGTATTTATGTTAAATGTTTAACCCTCCAAACAGGTTGATTCACTCAATATTTTAGGTAATCATTTCGACATGTCACCTTGTTGTATGCCCTGCTTCTTTTCTTCCGCAAATCCGATTTTGCTATGTATCTACCACTTTCAAATTATACTATGGAAAACATTATAATGCATTGGAAAACGCGTTCAACAACTTTGAAACCGGCTTTATATTAATATCTTTCAAGAACAACGTATTGTTAACTAACATTTGAAATATCGCGCAGGGAAATATGTTGAGGATGTATGGGTGTTTATTCTAGCTTTTACGGGTTCAAAAGGAATATTAGCCAACGACCTTGTCTTATAAAAATATTATTCAAATAAATTAGTTAACACATAGAAATGACAACCAAATAAATGTTGACCACAACGTCATAGCTTCAGCAATGCATCGTTTCAGATGTTGTCACTCACCCTGAGGAAATTGTTTCACCAAATGTCGTGACATCTACATCTTATTCGACGACAACCATATGGACGAAGCATTCGCAAAGTACGTTCAGTGACTGTTGCAATAACAGCAGATAATATAAAAGAAGCAATGTGGAAATGATTTTTTGTTGTTTTTCACACTGTTCATGTGCAATACATAACACATATTGAATGTAGCAAAATGTGAACATCAGTTCATAATTGTGTCTACAAAATTGAGTTTTATGATAAATTAGTCTGTTTACCTAACATTTTAGAGACTTCCATATTGGTAAGGTAGATCGAATAAAAGAAAACATACCAAAAATTGACACATTATTTGAATACTGATTAATATATTTTGCCTATGCAACTCGATCAAATATTCGTCGTTACTCAATCAAGCTTACCTTTAAACTTTGATATGATTCCATCTGACAGAATACGCTACAGGCGATGCGCATGCCACTACGATGCCTCATACAACCAGCAACAACAATTCGGCAAGAAAACGTCTTGAGGTTGATGACAACACTACATTTAGTCATATACCAGAACACACTACAGCTATACCTGCAGTGAAAAGCGGTAAGATGGTCACAGAGTCGATTTATCTACCAAGTCTTAATGCAAAGTCACTCGTAGGTATTGAACTGATGGAAAAAAAATGATTCAGTTAACAGATTCACTGTCAAAAATCTTGTCAAGAGAATTTTTTTACAAGTGCGAACATTTCGGAACGTCATGCTAAATGATCAACCATGAATACTAGTGACCAGACAATATTTACTTTTTATTCTGTTGCTTTTCAGATTTGAAAGCTGTACAAACGGAAGCCTACACCATAGCCAGCTCTGTAATCGGTGTTGTCATTGCCATCGCTGTAGTCATCGTTGTCGTCGTCGTGTGTGTCAGAAGAAAAAGGGTAGATGTAGTAAAAGGTAGGACGTTAAATGAAAAAAAAAATGTTTATATACACGTTGACTGCGATGTGTATATGTTATATCTTGGATGCAAATCTTTATTAAATGTTATTTATGTATGTTTAAAACCTTGTTTAAATTACCCCTTTTCATTTGTATATCTCTGGCTTATAAGCCTTCCCCCATTGTCTACCTACTGGCTTCATCACCTCTAAGCCCACCCAGTTGTGGTAATTACCTTGCTATCTTGTTTTCTTTGTTACACTCAGTATATATACTTTGCGACCAATGTATGTCACATTCCTGCTTGACAACGGTATAAGAATCTGTATCGAAACGTCGCACTCTCGTACTAAAGAAGCTGTTATCCATAAAGTTTGTCAATTTTGTACTTTCCAGCTTCTAAAATGCCACTCAAAGAAGTTATGTGTGTTTGTCGTTCGTGAATACAGAAAACTTTAAACTACAGATGAACTTCCTTTAAAGGTTAATATTGTAAAATGTATACAATGATATTATTGTATGGGTAGATTCTTTTGACCTGTGAGAGAAAGCATATGTTGTTACATTTTGCAAAATGTGTGGCTTAACGTTACGAAAAGTCAATAGTTAACTTAAATCTACATGTTATATATAAAGGTATTGTTTGTACTATTGTGCACGTATAAATATGCAGACTTTATACTGAATTAAAGGACTGAGTCATGAAGGTGAACGTGTAAGCAGAGACAACCTACTTTCAAACAGTTTAGATGAATGTGTTAACGCATTTTCACTTAAGTAGGGAGGTAACATTTGCCAATGTATAGTTTCTTAATCACGAAATATATTTCTGTTTAGCTTCCTGTGACGACACTCCTGCATTTGAATGTCAACCTGGGAGGCGGAAGTATGTGTTTCCGTCTCTGTTACTGAGTTAGTGTTTCATGGTAACCATAAAGTTTCATTTGCAAATAAGTCCAACATCGATATCATCAAAAAGCAAATGTAACATTTTGTTGCCATCAGCTATAAAGTATAGATCTTCTAGGTATACTGAAAACGTGAGTGAGTTTAGTTTGCAGCAATATTCTGTAAATAATTGAGTCAGGACCAGACAATCTAGTGACCAAGTGCATGAGCATCGATCTACGCAACTGGGATACGATGACATGTGTCAACCATGTCAACCTCCCGATCCCGTTAGTCGCCTCTTACGACAAGCATGGGTTACTGGAGATTCACTCTAACCCGGATTTTCACGGGTCTAAATTGAAAAGACTTATGACACATACGACCATGTATATACGCTCATACACAAATATTCTAAACTGTTGAATGACACTCAATATTCCATTCATTTAGAAAATAGTTTCTTTTCAGTGGTATTGCTCCACCTCAAAGAGTAAGCAGTCGCACAGAAGGTGAACAAATAGGTACGCTACACGTGCATGTATTTCTTATGCTGCTGATAAGAAGGGGCTGCATATGTTGCACCTTGACAATGAAACATGCATGGCTAGATCATTTTGTGTCAACAATGTCAAGCTATAGTTACAAATAAATAAAACTCATTTTAGGTTCTTCAATATATGTCACCAAATGATATAAAATTTTTACTTTTTCATAATCATGCCTGGTCCTGATCTGAAACACTGATAACTGTAGTTTTGAAGTCGAATTTGCAAATAATAACTATATCTTTCGGGGGTTTATTTTAACAATCTGGATCCAGTTGTATCATGTCTTCATTAACTAATCTTAATGCATCATTAGCTAATGACAACATTAAACACAGTTGTATCAAACACTAATTACCGTATCATTATTTTATTGACGTTCTTATGTAAACATTTTCATTAAATTCGGGGATTCCCCTAAATATTTCCCACAATTCCCCGATGTAAACACGTAAGCGTTACTCTCGGTCGTCTGTCAAAATGGCCTCTTTACGGCTATACTATACAATAACAATAGCCAAACAATTCGACAGCTGTGAAGAAACACATTTCAATAATTCTGAAATGTCGCCGATAAACCTAGAATCGGTTGGAATGTTCTGAAAAATACACGAACACGATCGCCGAAGTGAGCTTTCCGCCATATTGGATAGTGTTTACAAAATCGAGCTTCGCTAAGGCCGGTGATAGGACGCCAATTACATCACGTATATTTCATATTCAGTTGTGACAAATGCATCGCTGAATTCCTCATACGTTTTAGAATCAAATTACAAATGATCTTTGTCACTAAAACCAAGTGTCTAGAAGAAATGGCGTATAATCATTGGCCAGGTGCGCCTTTGGCACAAATGTTTTGACTATCATTGTTTTCGATAATACCGTGAAAAAAACATCACGAAACTTTAGTGTCCTTATCCGCAGCAGATTCTCTCCAAGTGATCTGAGTTACAATGATTTAGTGTTAAGCATAGCGGGTGATGCCCCTTATCTTGATAAGTATGTCGTCGTTTGACGTCATAGAGGAAAATTCATTTTCAACACATATTGCGAATCATTTTTTGAGATTGGGTGGATAACGTTATACATAAGTAAACAAACCAATTTAACATATACTTATGTCGTTCAGGTATCAGACAGTATTTTGTTCGTTCACACTTTCCGTAAAGATGCCAAATTAAAGATTTAGTAGCACAGCACTTTAATCAGTGCACGATAAAAAGCGGAGGAATTTACTGTTTTTAAGGCATAACAAAATTCGGGATAACATATAGCAGTGTCTATTTTTGAAACGGCCAAGTATTTGCGCTTGAGTTTACACTATGGGATAGGCAATTTAATATTCTATATTTCTGTGTAATTTTATAGCTGAAGGTAGATCCAGTGATGCACAAACGAAATTCAGGCGCAACGTTAATTTTTCCAGGAGTGAGTGAGTGAGTCAAGTTATTAAATCACATCGGCAATATTTCAGCCATAACTTTTCCAGGAAGTTAATGACGCTCTAATGACACCCCAGAACCTTCATTATGTTAATGACGCGTTAATGACAACACGACGTCATTAAAACGTTAGTACAACAGAATTTAATGATACATTAGTTATAAATGTTTAATGGTACGTTAATGCTTCATTAAAGTTTGATACAACCGGGTCCTGATGTATATATTACTGTCATGTGTGATTCAGGTGACGACAAACTGAATGTGAAGATTTTGGTAATTTAACTTAGAAAGGTAACTGCACCTTAGCAATTTGTTCGAAACATGCTTATTAGATTCAGTGCTAAAGAATTGGTTGGACAGTGAGATGTTAAAACATTACTATTTATATCACTTTATTACAGTGTTCGACACATGTTATTTGCGATGAACGAAAAAATATTTCGGTAAAATAAGGTCGATATTTTGATCTTCTCAATCGGATAAGACTCAGTCTTGGAAAGAAATGAACTTGAAGAATGAATCTGCCATCGTCTTTACCTACGTGAAAGTTGGATTGGAGTTGAACCTCTAATTTTATTCATATAGAAACATACATCTACTTGTCAGAAATATGCCTGTTTTGTATCAAGTGATTGTCTGTGACATACCAAGGCCGCAGTATAACCAGAGCATGTCGTGCATGTCGACCATGTCTAAAGATACCCGTTGTTGTCATATTTGTAATGACATATCAATGCATCGGGGGAAGGGAGGATGTGTACTCCGATTATCGAACGTTTGTTCATTTGATACATTATAACGTTGCAGGCCAACACGTATCCATACATTTCGTTCTTTCAGTTATGGTTGACAATTTCCTATACACGATGTCTTCTGAGGTGGTACCGCGCGCTGCCAACACCACGAACAGTGAAGACGTGGTGGAGAGGGCAAGTAAGGCTATAACACGCATGGAAATATTTATCTTGAACCTAGGAGCGCTGGTGCTTGAGGATTCAGCTGCTTCCTGTTAATACTCTTGGTCTATTTCACCTCCTACTGTTAGCCCAAACCTTACACTATACAAAATGTAAAACCAGTCCTATTTCTTACTCTTTTTGTGTAGCTAATTTGAGACGGTCATATGATGTTTGGTGTGTTTCGGTAATCATGTTTAACCTGAAACCACCTACCTTTAGCCATTGTGTCAAAACCTTGTCACAAAAAAACAGGCGTAAATGCCTCAGTGCCAAGCTGAAGTGCAATAGTCGCTGCCACAATAGCTTTAACTGTTCAAATAAGTGATGTTGAAATTGTGATCCACTTTTGTAGATTAAGTTATTAAGTGATGTTCATGTTATGGTCCCATTCATTATGTGGCGTAACATGTAATTTCGTGAATTATTATGTCAGTAAAACTTGTTATCAAATACGTGTCTGCTATTAGGCACTAAGTCTTGTATTTTCACAACACCATTTCAGTCATTTCGAGAAATGGCTAGACCTCTAAATCAGTCAATTCATGAAATGACAGGAAATTTTAGCCAGTTCACGAAACGACTGATTTCACAGTTACCATAAAAGGTTAATGCTTTGCTAGAAATATGTTTTAGTCAAAACACTTACGAACAAGTTACTATTTTCCCCCAAAGAATATTTCATGACTTTTTACCAATAATTAATAATTTTGTTTTCGTAAAACAATACTTAATATAAGTGTACTTAAACTGTCTGCTTATATCAAATCGGTAGAACGTAAACCAATGAGTCACTTGATCACATTAGTGGCACTAGTGAAAGTATCACAACAACATTGATCATTTAACTCATGCGTAAGAGTTTTATGATCATAACTCCTCTTTTCAAATTCCAGTTATGACGGACAATGTGGTCTACGAGAGCTTCCCTTCGGACGAAACTAATACTGAAATATCAGGTAAACCTTCTCGTGTTTTCAGGTTTGACCGTTTGGTATGTAGAGGTCAATAATACATTATATACACAGTGTGTTTACTTGGAAAGTGAATTCAAACTATAACGCATTTTACCACTTTCTAAAATACATTATATATTCATAGCTTCGGCCTTGAGAGCAGTGCTAATTTACTATTACAGAGGGGCACACAAGGAACGTGGTGGTCTAGGTTACCAGGTATTAAACATGCGGTGGCAGAGTGGGTAAGATCGCTGACATGGTGTGCTGACTTTGAATACCGAATGGAAATCATGATACCTCCCCACCAACCCACCCAACCAACCAGTAAAAGTGTAATCCCAAATATAGTATGTAACCAGTTTCATGAAGCATTGGGTCTGGTACTTAGGATCAGTGCTGCCATTTTGATGACAATCATGTAACTGATAACTTACTTTGTTGCTGCTGATTTTCATACTAACCTGTCGCTTTACAGAGAAACGGATGGTACGATAGTGTCACCAAATAGGTTCCTTTATAAACAAAATCGATTCTAGCCATTGAATTAGAAGGTTTCCATATATTTACACAGACATAACTGAAAAGCTTCCTCGACAAAATTCAGAAACTATTCTATAAAACGGAATTAACAACCATAGACAATAAGCCGTAATGGATGCCTGTGTATGTATGTATGTATGTATGTATGTATGTATGTATGTATGTATGTGTGTGTGTGTGTGTGTGTGCGCGTGTGTGTGCTTGCGTGCGCGCGCGCGCGTGTCTATGTAAAAACAAACATTCGATCACAAAGATAGGCTTGAAAGGTACCGCAGAGCAATACGTAACTTCCCTGAGGATACAAAACAAATATTTAATTGATGACGTAATCATAATATATACAGTTGATCTTGCAGAGAAGCACACAGTCGTATACACGGGCTTGTCGTGTTATGAGGACATAAACAATCAATACACCTCACTTCGGAGTCTAAGCCAGCGCGTCCATTCCGCTACCCACACCGACAATGTCAATGTACATGATTGGGCAACATCCACCGACCAATAACTTCGACTGAAAAAGGGCTGCAGTATAACATCTGATTTCATCCGTGTCATAACAATGATGAATTTTAGATGTGAGAATATCATGATCAAGATAAGTCAACAAAGTTTTCGAAGAAGTTTTTAACGAGCCATCTGAACAATAAAACATGTTATTCGATTACTGTCTGAGCAGAATAATTGTAAATATATATACCTAACTGTAACGTCATACGTATGATGACGACATAGCTATTACCGTTATGTGTCGCCTATGACTACACTCAGCTTTCATTGTACACCTGAAGAGCCGTTGAACGGCGAAAGATCTTGCGCTGATATAATGGAGTTTTGGCAAAAAGAAATATTATATATGTTATTTTTATTCTTCAGTGATTTCTTAAGAGCCGTTGAACTTGAAGTGATTGAAGTGACTTTTGTAGCAATGGTCTGTCCAATGATAGAAATGTAAAAACATAAATTGATTTTAATTAAAGGGTTTCCTTGCTACTCTTGTTTACTACTTTTTATGAAATGTTTGTTTCACTAAACCCGACTGTGTTTGAACCTTCGCGATATCATAACAAATTTACCGCTGTTAACACCATAGAGGCAACATATTCTGACTACAACAACACCATGACATTTCCCCTATTCCTGTTTGTGCCATCTCTCAGCTTGGCCAAGCTGTCACGCTTTCACGTTTACGTTAGCGGATCGCTTGTTTGTACCGTGTTAACCCGGAAACTCTGAATATTTAGTGAGTGGGTTAAATTGTAACGTCACGAAGGCAATATTTCAGTGAGTGAGTGAGTGAGTGAGTATGGTTTTACGCCGCTTTTAGCAATATTCCAGCAATATCACGGCGGGGGGACACCAGAAATGGGCTTCACACATTGTGCCCATGTAGGGAATCGAACCCGGGTCTTCAGCGTGACGAGCGAACGCTTTAACTATTAGGCTACCCCACCGCCCCCCAATATTTCAACCAAATCGTGATCTGAACCTTTATATTAGTCATTACATAGTGAAACATAAAACCATATACAAACAAAACTGTTTCATTTTTTGACCAGCAAATACTTCAAATGGAACAAACAGACATAACAATACTGGGGGGAGTGAGGTTGGTGTTAAAACCACTCAATAGCTATACAGCAAACATCAACCCCGAGTCTTCCAGAGGAAATAGCAACAACTTGTAGTATTTAACTGGCCACACGAGTATCCATTATACTTTTCATGCTTACTAAACGTAATTCATATTAGCCACAGGTGTATTGTACTGGTCCTGAGATTGGAACACGCGTGTATCACCCTCGATGTACATTTATCGTACGCGTATCATACTGGACATACGTGTTTCATGCTGGTGACATGGATGTCGCACTGGGCACCATCATTACTAGACATACCGGTATCATACTGGACATACGTGTGTCATACTGGTGACATGGATGTAAGTATCTGGACAGTATCGTACTGGACATAAGTGTGTCATACTGGACACACGAGTATCACACTGGACATACGGGTATCATACTGTGGCATGAATGTCATACTAGACACGTGTGTATCATACTTGACATACGGGTATCATACTGGTGATATGGATGTTATAATGGACAGTATTGTACTGGACATGCGTGCATCATACTGGACATACGTGTACTATACTGGACAAACATGTTTCATACTGGCGATATGAATATTATACTGGACATAAACGTGTGTTATTCTGCACATGCGGGTATCATACTGACATATGGGTATCATACTGGACATACGAGTATCATACTCGACATACGGGTACCATACTGGACATATGCTTACCATACTGGACATACGGGTACCATAATGGACATACGTTTGTCATACTGGATGCGGGTATCGTACTGCACATACGAGTATCATAATGGTGACATGAATGTCATACTGGACATGCCGGTATAATACTGGACATACGTGTATCATACTGGTGACATGAATGTCATAATGGACAGTATTGTGCTGGACATACGTGTATTATACTGGACAAACATATTTCATACTGACGATATGAATATTATACTGGGCACTCGTGTATCACACTGGAAATACGAGTATCGTTCTGGACATACGTGTGTCATACTGGTGAGAGGCATATCATTCTGGACACACTTGTAGTATACTAGTCACACGTGTATCGTACTGGACACAATGTACCATATTAGCAACAGGAGTATGGACCCGGACATACATGTATGACATGCTCTACACCTGTAACGCAGTAGACATACATGTATCACATGCCCTACACCTGTACTGCAGTAGACATACATGTATCACATGCTCTACACCTGTAACGCAGTAGACATACATTGCATGTTTAATCTGTACAGCAGATACGTAACTGTGTGCAGACGAGGAGGTATCAAATTCTCTTCTTTCTCCGAAACCCTATTACTGCAAATGGGATAGCCGCGTCTGCCTCACCTGGCACATTGGATAAACGTTCAAAGAACAATAAATGTTCTTTTGCAAATATTTCATTTTATCATCTTATGGAGGGTGTTCTCATCAGTGCAATAAAGCAATCTGATAAACTTGGTATCCAAATCTGATAACTATGAAATTATGTCAATCCACGAACTACTTTCTCAAAACTCCATACATGCCATGCAAATCCTTAAACGTTAACATTGTAAATAAACACGGCTGCCCCCATTATCAAAACTGGTGATTCTGTAAGAATTGATGACAGAGGTTCTGGAGTCGTTACTGCAGTGATTGACTTTGGAAAACATGAAACGGAGAACCTCGTTCAAATTGAAGCTACGGATTTTGAGGCACGAGTGACAGGCTCTTGTCTAAGAAAGGTACCAACCAAGGATTCCGATCTATCGATCACAACAAAGAAGACGACGAATCGATTCCGTCAGGTATCAGAAACTGATATTGATGAGGTGATTACCTGCAATGAAAATAGAAACACTACCAAGTTGTTGTTTGTTTTTAGACAGAAAGTTCTTATTTAAGGCGTGAGTTATGTTTGCACTGTATTAGCGACTATTCACAACCATATGACGCCGTCATGAACGACCTTCACCTTGGTGTACCGCTAAGTATTCTTACGCGATTGCTCGATTCTCTTCATATATAAATTCATTTGCTTCTTTTTTTGGAGTGAGTGAGTGAGTTAAGGTTTTAAGTCACTTCGGCAATATCTCAGCAATATCGTGACTATTAACAAAATTTATAATGTCATAATACATCATTATAAAAACCTGTCGGCGAAGGACAGTAAAAATAATTAGAATAGTACAGATATAATTGTAAAACTAGTATGAAAATCTAATCTAAAATAACTTAACTTTGAAAGACAATGCAATGTACAAAAGTTGCTAGAGATCGCCAACAACTGAAGGTAGATCACCATACTAGGGACCATGGGGACCTACACTACCTTTGCTACCTGCATAGACCTTAGATGGACCTTTTTAGAGTACTTTTAGGAATGACACTATATGTTACAGAGATTATTAACCTCGTTTGTTTCCGTACCATTAATATCATAGATTAGAAATAAAAAAAACGTATTATGCTCGCCACGGCTCGCATTATTCAATTTTTATTCCTAACATATGATATTAATTATATGAAAATACACTCGGTTAATAAGCTCTATAGATTCTTCCTCACATTATACCAGATTCCCATGACTGCACGTAAGACATGCATAAACGTTCACGGACACTAACACAAACACACGTGGATGCATGTTCGTGCACACAAATACGCGACAAGCGCAAGCTTCGAAACTTCGGCATTTCACACTTGATATGTTGTATTTTCCTTGTTTAAGTAAACACTAAAGCAAGATGGTCGCCCCTTGTTGAACGACATGAAAGGCATACTGCAGTGTACACAACACACGTTAAGTGTGCTCGTACGTGCATGCTACAGTGACATTCAGGGATGTTGCTGCACATGATAAATGAAAGAAGGAAAGTTTGCTTATCTGATTGTCGTTAGGAGAAGGGCACCCGCAAACTGATGCGGAATGAAACTATGGCTGTAGCTCTTCCTGGATTGCGTGAACTGATTTTCATTTCCAGCCAAGGTCCCTATCAAATTGAAATCTCTTAAGAAGTAAATTACAGCGGTTTCCTTGGGTTCTAAAGTATAATTACTTTGTTGTATAAAGTCACCTGCAGATTACAGAAATCAGTATTAAAATAATTTTGATTACTAGTGAGTGAGTGAGTGAGTTTAGTATTACGCCGTACGCAACAATATTCCAGCTATATGGCGGGGGTCTGTAAATAATCGAGCCTGGACTAGACAATCCACTGATCAACAGCATGAGCAACAGCGATCTACGCAATTGGGGTACGATGACATGTGCCAACCAAGTCAGTGAGCCTGACCACCCGATCCCGTTAGTCGCCTCTAACGACAAGCATGGGTTACCGGAGATCAATTCTAACCCGGATCTTCACGGGTCTATATTGCAAAGACTTACTTCATTACTAGTGGAGACAATATACTCCTCCAGCATCTGTATATTATACTTCCCTTGAAAATATATCGATTTTGGTTGTTTTAAGCCAGACTCTCATAAGCATATCTTCAACCCAATGACATTAGCTTAACACAGGGTAAGATATTTCAAAATTGTTCAGGTAAACTGCAATTTATTTCATCCATCCATCCGTCCAGACAACTTTATCTACCACAGGTTAATCAAATATTCTTAGCAAATATAAACAAGTATCGTTCAAATAATTAGGCGTAGCTGCATCACCAACACGGTATAAATCAAACACATATTTATCCTCAAGCAAGTAAATACTAAATATGGCCTCGAGTCAGACTATTTGAAAATAATATTTGGCATACAGAAAACAAGGTTGTATGGTTGCATTTTGGATGTATTGAGGGATGCAGATTTGAAAACGCTAATGCGATTTATCCAGCTGTGTTAAGGATCACGCACGTTCCTTTAGGAAACAATGAACCGTTGCTATATGATGCTGGTGTACAGTTTGGCCATTCTGATTGGAGAATCGTCTGTTGTTAGCGGTGAGTTATTTTAGAATCAAAGTATAATGATTCTAGTTCTCAGCGAAAGATGAAGCTTGAACACTAAGCTGAATGTTCCAAAGACGAGCCGAGTGCTAATGCAAGCCTGGCGGAGCCCAAACGTTTTCGGTGAATATCATTTGGTGGATGCAAGTTCCGTAATCTGAATATTTTGCTTTTAGTGTAACTGATCAGATAACTCACCTTTGAAGTAAGTGTATTGTTTTCATGTTTTTAAAGTTAAGGGTTAAGACTGACTTGAACAACATGTGTTTCTATGGAAATAGTTCTCACTAGCTGCATTTGTTTGTTAGAATTCTGTATTCGTACGCGCCATTAATTAGTCAAAGGGTACATTTTACTTTACTGCTAAGTAATGACTTATCCTTTTACGGTAGAAGAATGTGCTGACTGGATTGTTTACATTGGTTTCAAATGTAAGATTT